AGTGAGCAAACCACTGAAACCCCGACTCCCTCAGAATGTTAAAACACTTGTGGGTAGCCTCCTTGGCAGTGTGCTACACCAATCCATTCACTAGACATTTGGAAAATGTTATTTCTTCCTTCTCATATGCAAGAAATTAACAAAACTTAACATTTTTAACACTGTCTTCTCTTATTCCATAGAGTTTGAGGTATGCTGTTATGGGGCCTAAAAGTCAAATTTACCTGAAACCCTCTCTAAATGTTTTCCTCTCAAAAAACATTCTCTCAAATGTTTTCCAAATGAGGACTGAAGCCAGAACTAGTTTTCCATGGTCACCCCAGGTCACATAAGATTCTTAGGTTCTTATGATCTGGGCCTTCACCCAAAAGCTGATCCAAAGCCAGCCTCAGGGATGGACAGACAAGTATAATCTTACCAGGATACTCACCCTAGCATACTTTACAGACACAATAAAGAACAGTCATAGCTTCCTGCTCTCCTTTTATTCACTCATTTAAATCATATTTGTAAATGTCAGGCATCTCACTAACAATCATTTACAAGCTCATTATTTAAAATATACTACACTGTACTTTTATTTGCAGAAGTCCCGTAAAGAAAAACAGAGGTTTGTGCCCCATCGGGTGGCCAAACTGGAAATTTCAAACAAGTTCCAGCAAGGCAAGTGAACCCTAACTAATCAACATAATGCCATTGAGATACTGAAGCTGCAACACAAGTTTTCCCATGGGAGGGTTCTCTAAATGAAAATCAGAACCACCACAGCCATGTTTCCTTCTACCTGACAATAAGGGAAATGCAGTTTACATAGTACATTTTCCAGATCATGCAACAGAAAATTAGTTCATGGCCACTACTTTCTGTTTAACTTAAATAAAAGTCTCCCGCTGGGGAAGTAGTTTTATGGTAGAGTGGCTTACACAGCATGCCCAAAGCCTTGGGTTCAATCCCCTGCAATGGAAACAAAAGGTTTCACAGGGTTTTCTATCACAGAACAAAATCTTAATTTAAAAAAAAAAAAAAAAAAAAAACTTTTAATTTGTCAATTTTTTGGTTTATTTATTTGGGAGTTTTTGGTTTTGTTTTATTTTTTAAGACAGAATCTCACTGTGTAGCTCTGGCTGTCCTGGAACTTACCATGTAAACCAGGTTAACCTCAACTCACAAAGATTCTCCTGCCTCTGCCTCCCAAGTGCTGGGATTAAAGGAGTGTATCACTATGTCTGGCTTTTCATTAAGTTTTTTGAAAAGGTGATTTTTTTTTTGAACATTAATTTTATATTAGGATTTTAAAACGGCCCCTTAAATTCTCTCTTCATAAACATAATTAAACCATAACAAAACACAGAAATTTAGAGTTGAATGGGTGCTTAGATTATATAAGGCTTACTTAGAAACTATCAAAGTTCAGTTCTAAAATACTACATACAGATGACCAACCTGAAACCCCAAAAAAAGGAAGTGATTTCATCAGGGTTACACAGCTAATGTGACCTGGCTCCCAATGCTAAAACATACAGTGCTCCAGAAACTAGCCGTGTGTGTGTGTGTGTGTGTGTGTGTGTGTGTTACAGACACATTTATATGATGCCAACTGGCTTAACCTTTCTAGATCTGAGTTTCTTTGCTTGCAAAAACAAGCAAATCTTTAAAATTGCCATTCAATTCCTAAATTTTGGAGAGCTTTTTAGTATCTTGTGCTTATGACAATATACATTGAAAAGAGTCTTTCTTGGTTCCTGAGGAACCAAAGCACAGGACCCTAGGGAGAAAAAAAATCACTGTCAGCACTCAAAGGCATCAAATTATCTGCCTCTTTTGTTAATATTCTGTAAAATATCATCTGATTACACTAGTCTATTTGGATGAAACTGGCCTGAGTTAATTTCAGTAAACCTATTACAGACCTTTAAACTATACAACCATTGATTCTAAATATTTTGAAAGGGTTAATACCACATTTACTGATATACCATTTTCCACCCTCGGGTTGGTACTCAGGTTATTAGAAACAAAGATGTCTCTGATCATTTGTATTTCTTCTTGGTAAAACTATTCATAAAGCATCAACTAGATGGCCTGTATATGGTCTTTCCATGTTTCTCAATTCTTTTGTGCTTATTCTGACTACGAATGCCATATTTTTTTTTTTTTTTTTTTTTTTAGTTAAAGACTAATAATTTTCAGGATGTTGATGTGATATCATCATTAATAATTTTAGCAACTCAAGAAATTCAAAGGTAAGCCAAACATTTAGGAAATAGAAAAGGCCTTAAAAGTCTCTGGTCCTATAGGTATTTTTTATTGGAAAAGAAGAGGAGAGCAGGAAGAGCAAAAACATTCTATCCAGGGCCTCACAGCTAACATACACAAGAACTAGCACTTACTATGTCGCCCTATACCCATAATATTACATAGAATTAAATATTGCATAGAATTATAGATGTAAGCAAATGTTCAGCTTCTGAAGCTCCATTAACTCAAGCAATACTTAATAAACTGACATAAACAAAGAACCTGACAATCTGTGTCAGTTCAGAGCACTAGAAGGCAGCCTAGGCTTGAATTAAGGGTACTACATCAAAATTCAGAGCCAGTGCTTAAAAAACAAACCCAAGAGTCTGTTCTGCTGTTTTAGAAAGCATTATTTTCAACTACATGAAAATACACATTACAAAAAAGTAAGCAAAGATCCCTAGCTAACTTTTTAATATACATACCTTTTATCACTGTCTTTTTTCCTGAGACAGTCTCTTCCCTGACATTTTTAAGTAGCTAACATATCCAGATCTTAAAAATTCTTACATATACCTCTATGCTACTTTGACAGAAACAGCACCAAATCTTTAGAGATACCATACAACACAAAGACTATGCTCCTGTGCAAATTTCTTTAACGGTTCCAACTTATACAGAAATAAGCTCCTTATTTTTCATCTTGCCTATGTAACAATGAATTTACCAAAAATAGGAGTAAAATAGTAAGGAATCTCTCTGCACAATCTAATTTCAATTATCCACAATAAATGCATTTTTCAAAAAGTAATTTATAGTAGGTCTGAGAAAGATAATGCAGTCACTCGGGAGCATTGGAATTCCGTCCCTCCGTGACCAATCTAGAGTAACCATTTAGAAATAATAGTAACCAAATAGACTATGTAAATTGAAAAGTCCCACAGTCACTGTGGTTACTCCAGCCACAAGGCTGACATTACAAATCAAGGAGTTAATTGCATTTTTAGACTAAATCATATGCTTCCCCTTCCAGTCCAAGATATTACAAGTTAATTCTATAAAGTAGCCAAATGTTGAAATACTTAAAATGAATCATAGGATACATGAAATCAAGCACCCCATGCCATGTAAGAGTGAGATGTGCTTCAGCATGCTCCAGTCCTAACCTCTCAAGCACTGGCAGTGGTGCTGAAAGTGCTGGAAGGAAGACGAAAAGCAATGCCCTTCTTTCAGTGGAACCCACCATCTGGATTCTAGCCAAGGTTTTAAGACTGACTGCATGTTATTACAAACAATAAATCAACACTCCACAGCCTGAAATGTTAAAACCTTTTCTTACAGAATGTGGCTAAAGAACACTACAGGGAAACTGACTAGAAAGTATTAATAATAAGATATTCCTTTCTAGCATTAAATACAGTATATTATCGGCAAACTTATTTTACAATCTTCAAGATTCTGTTTACCCTAACTACACTCTTTCCCTGGTCTTCACTTACTACACTGGCTACAAGAATAAATGAACTTACTGCTGTTGCCTAAACATCTTACCACTAGATTTATATAAAGTTAAAAAAAGATCCAAAATATTTTAATTCATAAAACCTAGCCTGTGTGTGTGTGTGTGTGTGTGTGTGTGTGTGTGTGTGTGTGTGTCTGTGTGTCTGTGTGTGCGCGCTCCTATTGATTTTATACTCTTTGTTCCTGCTCATACCATGGATGTGAGTTCCTGGAGGTTAAAGATCTGGCTATCTTTCTCTACCCAGGAGCTGAGTAGCTTCTGAGAATAACCTATTGCAAGCTTAAAATCCTCCAGGTATCCTAGTTTCTAAATATTTAAGTGATTTCCACTGTCTTTACTATTCCAAATATTGACTCAAGGTTCCTTACTTACACTATCTATTAAATACCTTCCAAGATCTATGGGAGAAGAAACTGAGGAAAGGAGGAACATGACTCGTGTAATACACAAGTAAGGTACAGTATTTATATTACACTGAGTTTCTCCATAAAAGAACTTAACAGGAAATCTGAAATTTTAAATAATACTCCTGCCTCCTTCCTCTTCCCTCCATTCCAAAACCTGAGAAGAGTGAAAGAAAATCCAAAGATGTGGTTACTCTGTACAGTTCCTGCAATCAGTACAAAGACTAGACACCGTCTCCTTATCAAAACAGAACTACTGGTTCACTGCGTTTGGAAACTATAACCATTGCATTAGGTGATACACATTTCACCAAGTTTCAATCCTGTTACAAAGCCTTTGTCAACAGTGGGCAAGTGGGGGTAAGCCCACGGGCTCAGTGGCATGAAGGCAATCGCCAGAGGGGCTTGCCTAGCAAGAGCACGATTCCCTGGTGAGCGGCGAGAAGCACCTAACCTTGGCGGGGAGGTAATCTTCCGCGGTGGAGACAGGAGGTCAGGGGGAGAGGGGAGGAGGTGGCGCCGAACCGCCGCGACCCCGGGCCGCCGTCACACCTGCGGCTCAGCCTCCCACCACCATACCCCAGCCCCAGCCCGGTGGTGCCCTTCCTCTCGCCGCCGCCTGCATATCCGTTACCCCGGCGGCAGAGGGCTGCGGGGGAGGGGAAGGACGGCCTGGCAGCCGGGGGCCAGAAGCGCCGGGGATGCCGCAGTGGCTCCCCGCGGCGGTGGGTCAAAGTCCGCCTGCCCTGGCCGGGAAGCTCAAGGCGGCGGCGGAGGTCGCGGCTGGGGAGATGGCAGCCCCTCCGAGCCCGCCCCAACCCGGCCGCCGCGGGTACCTCATACTGGATGTACTGCTTCCTCCACTCGGGAGTGATGTGCGCAGAGAGGTGCTCGGCGAACTTCATCCTGCCGTGTTCCCCCTCACTCCCACCAGGCTCCGACAGCTACAGGCGGCGGCGGCAACAGCGACTCCGACTCCTCCCCACATGGGCCCCGGCGCTGCGCGGAGCTGCGCTTCTCTCCTCCTCCGCCGCCGCCGAGGTCTCCTCAGAGCCGCCCTCCCGCCATCTTCCTCCTCCTCTTCATAGCCCCGCCCCGCCCCGCCCACTAGACGTCATCGCCATGGTAACCGCCTACGCCGCTCGGACGGAGAGGGCGGGGTATGGGGCGGGGCCTCGAGGGCTTTCCTCCATGCTCCGCCCCTTTGGGCCGGACGTGGTGAAAGCACCTCCCCTGACCTCTTCCGCCTGTCTCTTGTCTTTCTCCAGCTGCTTTCTACAGCCTGCCTGAGAAGCAGAGCTGTTGTTTCAATGAATATTAGTACTGGAGCAGCAATTATCCACACAAGACGCTTCTATTTGCAGAGAACTGTGCAAATATTTTTTTCCATTTTGATATTAATTCTCCCTAAAACCCTTAAAGATGAATCAGCACTAATCCAAATTGAATAGTTGAAACAGTTGAGAGCCAAATGTATTTAAAGGAACTGTATTTGCACACTCTAGGTGCTGAATAAAAGCTTCTTGAATTAAATTCAAAATGTCAGTGCCAAAAGTATGTGCTGTTTCTATCTTTTAGTGTAATTGTCTAGTTAGTCCTGGAGCTATCAGAAAGGCCAAAACACCTGGATACAAACCAGGACCGAAACTAATCTGTGATTCAGCTGACTGGGACTGGGGACCCTCTGGTGAGACAGTCCTGTATCCAGGCTGATCCTCTGGGAAGACACCACTCACAGAGCAAACTACCACAGTCAGTGTGAGAATGACTGCCCTGGAGGACTTATTTGAGGCAAAAGTCCAGGTCCCACACTTGGTGGAGGAGCTCTGAATAACATGGTGGCTGGCAATTTTTGAGCAAATCTGTCCTTGTCCCTATACCAAGCATTGTTATAAACCCTTTATATGTACTTTGTCCTTTAATTTGATGAGATTCAAAGGTTTACTGGGGAAGTATTGTACCTGAGACAATATAGATCTCTGTTATTTGATTCCCAGCGCGCGCGCGCGCGCGCGCGCGCACGCACGCGCACACACACACACACACACACACACACACACACACACACACACACCATATTTTCTTTCTCTTCCCTTCCACTTAATTCCTGCCAATAGGGTTCTATAAATGTTTCTTCAGGAGAAAGATGGGGCATGAGACTTGGTGGGGAAAAAAGGCCTACTTTCTGGAAAACTTTTGTACAAAAGCTTCAACCACTAGTGAAGAGTTAATCAGGGGGCTAAAGAGATGGCACAGCAATTAAGAACAGACCTGAATTTGATTCCTAGCACCCACATCAAGCAGCTCATAACCACCTGTAACTCCAGCTCCAGAGATATTTGTGGAAGCCAAGAGCACCAGCACTCATATAGTGTATTCACACATATATGCATAGCTAAAAATGGTAAGAATAGATTGTTTTTAAAAAGAAAGAAAGGATAATCAAGGTCAAAGAGAAGAAAAGGAGGAGATGGAGGACTCATCTTCAGTCTAGTACATCTCTGCCCCCCCCTCCTAAAACAGTAGAGTGCCAGGAAAAAACACAGGCAAAAGGGAACATTATACACTGGGCACACTGCTCCCACAGCACAGTCCTCCTGTGCCTTAACTGCATATAAGATTCAGGAACTGTGAGGGGAAAATCCTTAGCACTAGCTCTAAAACCAATAATTCTTAGGTTTTTGGGGGTTTTTCCCCAGGCTGACTCAAAGCCCATCTACCCAGCCAGACACAAAGTCTTCATTTAGCCACACAAGTGGATAAGAAAAACATGAGACAGGGTTTCCTTATGTAGCTCTGACTGGCCTGAACTTCTCTATATAGACCAGGCTGGCCTCTGACTCGGCAGAAATCCTCCCCTACCTCTACCTCCTGAGTGCTGGGATTAAATGCATACACCATCATGCCCATTAGAAATGTATTCCTTCCTAGCATTATTACAAATGTTTCATCAAATATTTCAATGGTGTTTACTGAACACTTACTCTCTGTAGAGTGTAAAGCTAAGTGTTTTGAAGACATTATGAATGGTTTTGCTGTGAGTCCAAAGGGCTCTCTGCTTAAGACTTCCCTTTGTGAACATAATCTCTATTAAAAAAAAAAAAAAAAAAAAAAAAAAAAAAAACTCTGCTGAGCATTGTAATATTCCAGCCGTGCCCTTGGGGAATGAAGGACAGTTCAAAAGTACATAAAACTGTATTTTCCTTGAAGGAAACCATAGTCTAGTCAAAGTGAAGGACAGACTAATAGCTTACAATGTGCTCTATGCTGTGAGTAAGGTTTGATAAGGAAACAAATATCTAGCTGAGGGAAAAGTAAAAAGATGGTGTCATGGAGATGATTTTGAAATCCAGTCTCAGACAATGATATGACAAGTGAAAAGGGACACCTCAAAGACCTTAAGGGCATATAGCAAGATGCCAGGGTTGCTAAAGAGTGACTCGATGTTCTCTGACCCAAATATCCTCCAGAAAGCTGAAAGTGCCTGCGTGATCCCTCTCCTCCCTGATCCAGTTGTGCTCCATTCACTGTATTGCTGTTAATATTTGATCAGACCATAGCTCACTGAAGATTAACTGCTTATTTTTCTTGTCTTCTAAGACTGAGCACAGTGCCTGGCACTTGGGCATTGAAAAAGAAAGGAAGTAGAGAAGGAAAGAAGGAAGAGAGAGAGGAAGGAAGGATGAGGAGAAGGGAGAAGAGATGGAGACAAAAAAAAAAAGCAAGACAGGCCTCTCAGGAAATGAAGTTAAGCTGGAACAAGATTGTAAATACATTGTGGAAGTTTGAATGTAATTGGACCTCATAATCTCATAGGGAGTGGCACTGTTAGGAGATGTGGCTTTGTTGGAGGGGGAATGGTCTTATTGGAGGAATTATGTCACTGTGGGGACAGACTTTGAGGTATCCTATGCTTAGGATTCTGTCCAGTGTCTCAGATGACTTCCTGTTGCCTGAAAGATGTAGAATTTTCAGCTACTTCTCCAGCACCGTGGCTGCCTGCATGTTGCCATGCTTCCTGCCATGATAATGTACTGACCCTCTGAACTGTAAGTCGCCACATCTATTAAATGCTGTCTTTATAAGAGTTGCTGTGGTCATGGTGTCTCTTGACAGCAATAAAAACTCTAACTAAAACAGAAATTGATCACAACCACCAACATGAAATCTGAAGAATTTTTATTAAGTGCCTAACTTGGGTCTGGTCAAATAGCATATAAATGTTCCCAAAACTAACTCTAGGAATAGACCTGAAATAAACTCCTAACTCTCATATTTATAAGCTATATAGCCTTGAGCAAGGTACATTAGCCTTTAAAGGCCCAGTTTCCACATTTCTCTGAAAGCAATTAGAATACCTCCATAATAAATTATTTTGTGGGTTAAATGAGATTCTGCACTGACAGCACTTAGCATAAAGATGGGCCCCGATTGAGCATTCCATAACTAGTAACCTCTCAAAACATGTCAGTAGAATAAGGAATGGAATAGAGTGGTGACAAACTCAAGACCTGTGTACCTGCAAGCATACTATGTACTGCCACTGTCCTGACCACTTTGCAAATGCCAATCTAATTCTCACTGGAACCTGTAGGAGGTGGCTCCTATCATTATCCTCACTTGGGAGCTGAGTAAAGCATGGGTGGGGGGTAAGCGTACTACAGGAGAACATCCACCCAGTAAGTGGTAGATCTGCATTTTAACCCCTGCCACCCAGATTCAGAGTACCTTTGAGCATTGCATTACATGTTCTGTAGCTGCAACAGTTCAAGCCAGATGTGACATATGAATCTAATAACAGGGGAGATGGTGTTTCCACATACACCGAGATGAGGAATGCAAGCAGAAAGTGGGTATGGGGTATCCCTGGATATGTTAAGTATTTGGAAATCCCTGATTGAGTGTATGGATCTAGAGCTTTAGAAACAAGTTGAGACTGGGGAGTGATTCACATTTAAATGATAATTAAGTCCAGCAAGACTGCCCAGAGATAAAGCATAGACTGGCAGGGAAAATGGGCCAAGGGAACATCCCTGTGTCAGACTGATGAAGTAGGGGTCAAGGAAGGAGGCTGAGATGTAGCCAGAGTAGGCAGCAAGACAATTAGGAGTGAATGATGTCAAGAAAGATGTAAAAAGATGAAAGTTTCATAAGGGAAGCACCAATCAATAAGCCAAATGTCATAGAGAAGTTGAGTTGTCCGACTTCTAAGCTCTTGGGTTTTGCAAGCTGGAAAAGCATTAATAGGGGTTGGAGAGATGGTTCAGTAGTTAAGAGTACTGGCTGCTCTTCCAGAGGACCCGGATTCAAACCCATCACTCATATGACAGCTCACACCTGTCTGTAACTCCAGTTCCAGAGAATCCTATACCCTCACACATATGTGCATTCAGGAAAAACACAAATGCAAATAAAATAAAAATAAACAACTAGGCAGGGGCACACTTTTAATTAAGGGGATTAATTGCTTCTCTTTAATCCCAGCATTCAGGTGGCAGAGGCAGGAGAATCTCTGAGTTCAAGGCCAGCCTGATCTACAGAGCAAGTTCTAGGATGGTTAGGACTACACAGAGAAACCTTGTTTCCAAATAAATAAATATCATTCTTTAAAAGTTATATTTTAAAAAGTAGTCATTAATAACCTCAGGGGGGGAAACAGCTTTGATAACATGAAGGCTGAGTAATGCAAATAGATTTGTTTCTCTTGGTCCTACGTTGTATTTATTCTGTGTACCTGTTGTGAAGTGACCAGAAGTGAGGATTTAATAATATACCCAGCAATTTATTTAGAAATTCATAAGAACTAACTCTGAACATTTTATATTTATCACACATAACTCTATGTTTGGGAACAATTATACTTACCACAAAGTAACTGTTTTAAACCTTAGAATTATGTGTGATAAATATAAAGCCAAACTGTTACTTGAAGAAAACAAGACTGGTGATCATAAAGGCAGAGGAACTGACCTGCCAAGAAAACAAACCTTAAGGTATACCTTCAGCTGAGAAAGCTGTTATCATGAAGAGTTAAGAGCATGTTCAAAGTACATCCCAGATTC